TTTATATTATTTTTTTTTCGAAAATCGTAAATGTCTCTGTTGTACCTGCCTACATTATTATTGATATAAACGTGACGACGGAGCACTCGTATTGTTTATATTCATTTGGAGGGTGTGTAGGTATATGTATACGTGTAACACCGACGGTGCAGAGTGCCTATACGAAATCAAACCTTGTTTTGAATAATATAACATAAACATTACAGTATATATATATATATCTATACTATTTTGTGTACAATCGTTATTATTTTTTCTTTTATCTGCTTTGAATAAAACAGCATGACAATAGTTACAATGGTCCATCAATACGCACATTATACATATATACATTACGTTTTTCTCACGGTGAGTTTAGCATCCATTGTGTAATGTTTTGTATTTTAAAAAAAACGCATTATATATACATATATATATATATTTCATTTATATAGTGTCCTCAATCGTTTTCATTTAAATCGGATACATGTTTACAACATATATATATATACATATTATACATAAACCTATATACCACAGGTAGGTACATACACTTTCACGATAATTGTGCGTGTAAGTGTATACGCCTTTATGTATAACAATATATATATCAAATAAGTACGCGATTATAATATATTTTATATTGGTTTTGCGGAACGCATTTGTAATAAATAAATACCACGAGTAAACGTTGCTGCTGACAAAGCAAAAGCTTCAACTTGAAAAAGCTATAGGGTATAAATGTTAAAAAAAAATACAATGGTTTATAATGTATTTATTATTTAATATAATATGATACGTAAAAATACATACTGTACCACGTGAGCGTGCATATTGAAGACGATGATATTTCAATTGCACAAAGTAAACGAAAATGTCTTTGATGGTGTTATAATATAATAATATTGTGATACAACAATAACATTGACTATATATATATACATATAATATAGTCTTATATTGGTACGTTTGTAGGTACGTTTCTCACCGGGAAACTTAAAGCTCAACCACAATAATGTTTGTAAATTTATATGTTTGAGGTTTCAGGAGTGAATTTATATGTATAGGTATTATATTATGAGTGTTATGAGAAATTTTTTGTCTTTCCCCAAAAAAAATTCTGCTGGTGCCTTTTTGTACATCATAATATTAGGTATTATATATGTTTATATGTACATTCAAAGTATAATAATGTAGCAGTTTTCCTAGAAATGAATTCGGAAAGTACTAGATGGAATCACGCAACTGTCAAATTTTTAAATCTATTTACCCACGTGATATGATTGCAGCACAAGAATATTATAATATGTATATTATACAATTTTTTTTCAATTATATTATATTCGTAGAGTTATCATAAACTCGTATTTGAAAATAATTTTTAAAAAACTGATATTTACTTTTTTTAGCTACGCTCGTTATCCGCATAATGATCTATTTAAAAAATATCTACCTATACTTTGGTCTTTGTAAACGCTGTGCCCAAACAGTTCGATGTGAAAATGTATCACAGAGTGCAGAATCCAGTGCAGGGGGAGATGGATACAGTGGTGTGATCAGGATTTTTGAAAAGGAGGATATACAATTTTTACTATTCTTGGACTACGTTATAGCGGTGGTAAACATGGTTTCACTGCTTTATCATTTATATTTTATATGGCAAAAATATTTAAAAGGGGGGAAATGACACCATCACCCCCCCCGTAAACACGCTCCTGGGTGGATGAAAAATAAGAGTCGATAGGAATGTGTCGTACCCATGTATAGTATTATTATACCCACGCGGCATACACACGTCCTACATAACATTGTTTAGTGCATTTTAGGTAAGTACCTATATATTGTAAACGTAGCAGGTTTGATATGACACGTTGAACTCGCGTACAACAAGATGAGCATTGAGCGGTAAAAGAATTTGTTTTGTTCACTGCAGGTCCTCCTCAGAATAAGGGTATAAAATACAATGATATATGTATCGTAGATGAAAAATATATTACATTATTATAATAGGTAGGTACGCGCTGCAGTGATTCCACGTCGACTTCGCCGAGTGTTCATAATATAATATTATGGAGACGACAATACGCTGTCAGCTGCAACCTGTACGTAGGTGGTACACTGTATGTAAGTAATTTCGGATTCCCCAATATGAGATATTTATAATAATTGAATACTTAATACACTATAAAATATTACATCATCATCGAATGTCTTAAATATGAGGAAACAAGGAAAGCACAACAACCCTCTACAAACTGGACAGACACTGCAGTGTACGGACCTCCGTTCGAGTTTCTTTTTAGATGTTTCAAAGAATCGCATATTTATAATTTCAATTTCAATTTATGATTTTGTAAACGCCTTAACACAAATAAATATATTGTGAATATATTTGCATGAAAATTAAAATAATAAAAAGTAAGCTGATTTAAACAAGTTTCCTAATAGTTCCGATGGTGGTTTAATTTTACCAAAGTGCAATATAAAAAAATGTGGGCAAGTGGGTGTCGCTCTGCTGTACAGTAGGTTACAAGTGGTTCACTGTAATGGTTTGTGTTAAATTTGAATTAAATTATATATTATCATTGTATAAGTAAAATGATTCTGAGCTATGACATTACTAAGTCTATATGATGATATTATTGTCAAAACTAAAAAAATTTAAATTTGAAATAGTCGGTAGGTAAACAGCTCAAAACGAGTCAAAATATGTTCAAAATTGTATTGTGTATAGAAAATGAGAATATTAAATCGCTACACGACAAATCGAGTGAATATCCAATGTTGTAATAATATGAACTTCAAACGCTCATAAAAATTGAATTTGACTTTCTTGTTGACAAATTTATTATTCGATAAAGGTAGAAAAACTTATATGAGGACTCTTGTATTACATTTTAAAATATTAAATTTAAAAAGAAAATTTTTTATGAATTTCTAACTCAAAATGATTTGTACATTTTTTTGATTTTTACGTGTTTTGTCAAGATTTTAACTTTAAATGCTTATAAAAAAAAAAATTGTGACTATGGATTTTTAATACAGTGGTCGCTGCTTATAGTGTTTACTGGTTATAAGAATCAGCCGCTTATAGTGATAAAAAATGCCAGGAACAGAACAAATAGCCATTATAAGTGCATATTTCGTCGCTTACTGTGCTCAGGTTTTCGATTATTGTGATCAGAAATATAAAATATAAATATAATTTACAATAATATCACCTCTTTTGAGTACAGGGAAAACGATTACGAATGACAATTATCTTAATCGAGCTAATCTTATCTAATGAAATCCACGTAATGAGCTACTATAGGTTTAAAAAATGTCATTTAAAAATGTTCAAGCTTACCCAGACAGCAATTTTTTGTTTAATAATATTATTATAACGCATTGTAACAACGAATAATATTAGTATAACGTTATTATAATAGTATTATAAAATGCTATCTGGGTACCTACAATTTTCTTAATAATTGGGAAAAACCAAATAGAAATTAGGAATAAATTGGAATATTACGGGATACCAATTTTGACAAATTCTCTTTTAATTTTTTTCAATACATTTTTGTAATTTGTACTCTTGTTTTACAACGAATTTTACACAGTTCAAACTGCAAAGAATATTGTTCATGTATGCTTTTAACAAACTGTGTTGCAGTACATTTTTGCAAAAGAAACCAAATAATTTGCTACTTCATTTTTTAGAGCATAGAAAACTATTTTTTTTATACATTGCAACTAAATTTTTACTTAATATAGTAAATAAAGCAGATTAAAACAAAACAGAAGAAATGGATGTATAAAATGTAAATATGTATATATAATATTATGTAATATGTACAAACATTACATTGATTTGTGTGTTTTTATTTTTATTATTTTTTTCTGTCTGATGACACTCCTTTGAGCAATATTTTTTTGCTATTCATAAAGAAATTAACCGTAGATTGACTATATATTTATATTAACATTTTCTCTGAAGTCATTTTAAAAATATTTTTTATGTTCTGTTTGAAATATAAAATACATATTTTGAAGTTTTCTACTTTTCTTAGTATATATATTTTTTTTATCAATTTAAGCATATATAGTTTTTTTGGTATCACAGGTCAAAGAGCCTGAACATTTCAATGTAAGGTTCCTTGTAACTTATGAGTTATAAGTTTGTTTATACAGCAGTTAAAATATATCAAAACTATCCAGTCCCAATTTTTTTTTAACTGAAAATTTGTACTTCAAATTTTCACGAAATCGTGTGTTCAGACTAAAATAACGATTATAGTGGGCTTATCGCAGTTCAATAAATATTAATTGTAGACTTGCGATATATTCCACTATTACTTAAATTATAATTGTTTTAATGATATTGAAATTTTCAAAATATTTAAACTAATTTTAAGCTTTTTACCTATATTATACCAAGAACCCATCATTATACAATTCTACAGTAGGTATGTCGGTATTTACTTAGGGCTATGATGACTTATTAACAATAATATAATATTCATTAATAAGTAGAATATAATTTGGCAAAAATGTGTTTAACTAAGAACTTTACTAATAATAACCTAACTTTATTATTGGTATTACTAATAGGTAATAACTAGTAGGTAAGCCATAAAAATTTAAAAATACATAATATTATAAAATGTCTTTAGAAATAGAGTCTGACTCCAATTTTAGCTAAAAACCACTTGTCGTATACAATGATTTATTGATTCATGATTCATATTTGTATTATTTTTTTAAAATAATAATGCCTCCCTTTAACCTATAACTAGCATAGTTCATACTGTAGCTTAAAACACAATAATAAAATCATATACCTAATCGACCATATCAGATTTAGTTACAATTATATAATAATTAATAACAAACAATTTGAAAAATATTAACTCAGGTATATATTTTATTAAAAAAACAAAAAACAGGAATAAAAATAGATTTTATAAAGAAAAATAATTTAATTAAAAAAATATAAAAATTGTTGTTTGGATTAGTCACACGTCATTTTAAAACAATCATGGTTTCTTGAATCCATCATCGATGGCCTTGTTCACGATAGCCTGAAACATTAAATCAATAATCAATATTAATGATTCATATATTTAAACTATAAAAATAATTTAATAACAAAATATAGTTGATAAATTATGATAATATATAGGGTGTAGGTATCTTGTGGATTTGACAATTGTTCATTTTAATAGTTATTTTAACTTTCAAATCCTAAGTCAATAATAATCATGTATGAATATGTAAAGATAATGAATGTAACCATTTGTGTTAACAAATGTCAACGTATGTTTTAATTTTGAAGATTTAATATTGTTATTCAACGATAAGAAAACCAATCAATTGTTGAAAAACGAAACGAATTATTAAACTAAAATTAATATTTTCAAAATATCAATAAATGGTTTTATATAACTAATATGCACCTATGTACTACTATAATGTATTATGTATTGGGTAAATTATGATTGTGGTTATTACATATAATTTATATAACATGTAAACTTACTTCTATATCTTTGGTAGTTCTGGTTAAGCTTTCGGTGATTTGCTTTACATCTAACTTTTCATTGATGGGCTTGCCGATTTTATCTTCGAACAGATCTTTGGCAGTACTTATTTGTTTTTTAAGCTCCTTCTCTAAGTCATCGTATTTTTCAACCAATTTCGGGTCAGCGTTTTTGCGAACGATATCCTCAATTTTATTAGCTTCGGTTTCCATCTGTAAAAGTTAATTAAATTCGAAAATAGAAACAAATTTGAATAAATAAAGCAACGTAATATATTGTATATATTGTAATATATTGTTGTATATTGTATACAATTTATATTATTTATTCTTACGTCTGCGAATCCTTTAGTCATTATAGTTCTAAATTTTTCAATGGATTTTTGGGCATCGCCAGAGTTAGGGACAATTGCCACTAAGTGATTGGCAGCAGACATTAAAGATTGTGACATTTGATCAGCAGCTTTTTTAAGGTCTTCGACTTCAAGTGTAGTACAGTGGCGTGGCGTGGGTATTAAAAAGATGCAAGCAGTGAAATTTTTTTTTCAAAAGTGATCAGAATATAGGTAGGTACTATACCTAAATACCTAATTATAAATTATGTATAAAAGAATGTTATCCTTTTAAAATTTTTTATATTTTTAAAAATATACTAGTTGTACAAATCAAATTCGAGAAAATAAAGAAATTGAAGTATAAATACTTCAAAAGTCTATTAGGCGAACGACAGTGACAGTGTACGTAAAAACGACTACAGTCTACAACTCGCCGGGCTACGTACTGGTCGCTCCTTGTTTCTCGCGTAAGCAAAATCAAATGTGCTTACAAACGTTAGTTAAATACGTGACCCACTGACCCCCACTATGGCATTATAGACTATTCGAAAACAACAGTTGCGCGTAAGCAATTTCAGAATGTGTTACACTGTATATCGTATTATGATTATGCAGTTAACGTAAAACAGAATGGATTAAAAATAGACCTACAATCGATGATTTTCTTAAAATAGTTGGTAATCAGTAGACAGCGTACGACACAAATAAACAATAAAAAAACCACTACCAGCTATAACTTAAATATTTTATAAATAAAATTAAAATTTTAAAAATCATTTATTATGTATCTATTAGTCGTGATTGATCAAATTTATTTTTTCTTTCATTTAAAGTGTAAGCAAGTGCTTACAGTGCTTATATGCACGCTAAGCCCCTGGTGTAGTACCGGTTGCGGCTGACATGGCCTATAAAGTTATTTATGTGTTTAAATACATTTCATAAATTAGTGAGAAGCTAAAACTAAATACTTAAGACGTAGGTATATTGTTCGTCAGAAAAAGAGAATCGTTTAAAATATTTAAAATAACTACACGATTTATTAATCATACACCACATACAGTAAAATATATAGTAAATAAATATATATAAATATATAATATTATGAGAGTGGATAAAATAGTACGTAAAAACGTAGAGTCGAAGTAAAGTAGTTTTACAATAACATCACAAGTCAAGCAAATAATTCGGAAGTTAATAAATATTATTATTCTTTTCCTTCGTCGTTATTAATAATCACTGTTATAGAAATACATAAAGCCAAAATAGCGATATTAAAATATCGAACAAAACTAAAAAAACTCATAGATAAATTATTATAATAAAAGCAGTGTGCTTGCCTAACCTGTCCAATAAAGACGACCGCGAAACACAAGACAATTTTTCCGTTCATGGTGATGGCGTTTTTCGATTACGACGATGATATAGAATTATAATAATAATAGTAGTTATTCAGCAAACAAATTGGTGCACTGATCAATCAAAACCAAACGACCGGCTTATATAGGCAATAATAGCCAAGTCCCCCGACTAGTTACTGATAATGTATAATATATGATGGAATATACGGTTATTGCCTGCGCTTGAACTTCGGTGCACCGTTCTAATTAATGTGAGTAACAATTTGTTCACCGGGTTTTTACAAATTGGTTAAACAATTGTACGGACGATGTGGTCAATTTGCAAAAGCTGACACTACATAATATCAATATAATTATTGATTTATTATGTATATATTTTTGTTTCCCATTTACTCCTGGATTTCCGTGTTGTTATTGGTCTGTGTAAAATCGCCTACCTATAATATAATATTTTACCATAGCACAAAATGATTAATAAGACACAGTGTCCTTTGTATCTATGTTAATTAGGTTTAGAGGTGAGTATGAATACGTGCATATTCCGTGCTCATTGATCAACAAACCGTTGTGAACACGTCGTCTGAACACACTCCCGTAAATGCCGTAGTTGATATGCGTGTAGGTATAGATATTATCGTAGTTGTTATTGTAGGTATATTGGGACCTATATAATATTTAATCTGTCCGACCTTTTTCATCGGGTCATCATAATATTATACGGCTGTAAACAAGATACACTCCCAAAAACACGACTTTCATGCGTGCTGCAGAAGCAGCAAAAATCTAAACGCGAATATATTAGGAGGTTTACTCTGATAATATAATATGTACGTTCATTGTTCATAATATTATAAAGGCGTATCGTATATAATAATATGTTTAATAAGATTTATGGCCAGTAGCCACTATCATATTATTATAGGACAGAGTTGCGAATTTAAATTAACTTCAAACAAACTTTAAGAGTTAGTTTTTTTCGTGGGTAATGATCTGTTTTCATAAAGATTTTTATCAAAAATCTGCTGAATTGGCTGCGTTTGCGAAAACCTTTTATAGTCACGTTTATATTTGCTCACGTATGAAATATTTGGGGGCCGCCGTGGAACATACGTATGATGTAGGTATACAGAGGGGTAAGTAAATCGATTATTGAATATGTCATCACAGTTACAATAGATACAAGAATAATATTATATTACTTTGAAATGTTGCTTCTGCAGGTTAAAAGTTATAGTTACAGTAACTTAGTTAGTTTCGATCATCTTTTTAAGGTAAAATAATGACACTACTAAATAGTTGTTAACTTGTTTGTGTGAGGAAATCATATGAGATAATGCGTAAGTTATAACTAAAATTAAAAATTATTAACATAGCAATTTATTGATATAATATATATAAATATATATATATATATATGTATAGGTTCAAAAATATTACAAAAATATATTAAAGATTATAATATTATAATAGCGCGGAAAACGGTCGATGGTCGATCGGGAGGTATTGCCGAAAAGCTATAATAATAAATGGGTTTTTTTTTAAATTTTATTGATGACGAGCGTCGTATGTATAGCGTATAATAGTTGCACACGCGTGACTCCATAACTCGGACCATGTGGCCTGCGTCCCCATTATTTGGAGTTCGCGGGTCGCGTAATGACATTGTTATGCGTGTGTGCAAAGGGTGCGGGAGGGTGGAATAATAAGAACCGATCTCGGGGGAGGAGATTTCGGCGAGCAAAAAAATCCGCTCCCGTCTTGACGCACCCGAGCCCCGTTGCCCGCGCGTACATAAAATTATAATTTATACAGCACCGCTGTACTACACGTGTAACGCGTATTGTAATACATAAATTATGCATACAGGGTGTTTCATAAGTACAACGAGGTTTTGAAATAAGAGTTGCTTTTTTTTTTTGGTACTGTTCATATAATTTCTGTTAATTATTGTTCTCGAGGTGACATTATGGAGTGCCGGAGGGGTATATACTATTATAATCGAGCAGCGTCCGAAGGGCGGACGAGTATTTAGAAGTTGGTTCCTATAGTCTTTGGATATAGGAGAGACTAAGACTCCTTAGAACAACTGATGAGATAGGTAGGTACGTGACGTGAAAATAATAAAATATATACCATAGGAAACCATGTGTGCATATAAAAAATAAGTCACTATCTATGGTGTCGTCTGTTTTTACTCTCAAAAGTGACGGTTCATTGTAACTTATATCTGCTCGATATGTGTCTCGTTGTTTTTGAGATAATGAGATAATATATTGTACAATATACCAGCATATTATAATCCCACAAAAAAGGTGTCATCACTACAGAGTGCAGGGTGGCTTCTTTTTATCAGCTAATTCTCGATAACCTGTATACGTATGCTGCCCGCAATCATACTGTACGCTTATACAGGTCGTGTAAAAAAGGTAATGACAAACAAATTAGGTTCCAATATGCACACTCATTTTCTTTTAAATCGAAATCGCAATTAAAAACACAAAATTAAAAATTCGCGTTCTTCGTGGCACACCCTGTATACAGTACACTGCACGCGTTATACCCGCGAAAGCGTCGGTCGCCGCACCGGCAGCAACACCAGCAGCAGCAGACCGTGTAAAACGAGCGGGTGAAACGATTTATCATCGACCACTATATATAAAACATTATATAATATGTAGGTACATATTATATGTATATATACGCGTACGGAATATACACTCTCACTATACATATATATATATATATATGGATATAATATATTATATAATATAAAGCGGCGGCTGTGTATATTATACTACGCGTCTGCTACAAGTACGACGACGGAACGGTCCTCGGGGAGTTTGCGGGCGTAACGGGGGTTGACGGCGATCACGAGGCGCTGCAGACGCGCGTCCGCGTGCTCTCGGGTCGAGTTCAAAACAAAAACCCCCCAAAAAAAAACCCAAAAAAGGGGTCATATTCCTCCTCATCTCACGCACTCATCCCACCCACCGACGCCGCCACCGTTTAGTCGTCGACACCCCGCTCGTACCCACCACCATATTATAATCGCGTTTATTACCTATATATATATACGCACTGCTGCTTCTGCAGCATTTAATGCATAATATATATATGCGTACAATACACGCTGCACAATTATGAATATTGAACGCTCGTGCCATGCGTGTTATATTATGTTATTATGGTATATTAATTGTCGCGGACGAGCGGCGCGAGGGTCCGCGAATTTTTGAAGAGAAATAAAAACAAAACCAGGATTTACAAATTTCTTCAAATCTGCCGTCATCTCTAAAATATGCATTTATGTGTGTAAGACACACCAGCCCGCTTGATTTTCAAACCGTTGACATCAAATTTTTCCATCCATTGACTATTAGACAGTGTATACTATTGTCTATTTGTACGAATTCGTATGGCCAAAGGGGCTCGGGTATGTCAAAAGACAAAAACCTTCCAGAGAGTAGGCGTGACGTTACACCAGCCCCCAAATAGGAAATCTGAAATTATTTTAACATTGCACGACTAGCATGCAATTAGCATGCATTTTCACGACCATACACACTATAATATAATATACACTACCTAGGTATAAACTTTTTTCAACGCATTCTCTGCCAAGCGAATCGTCGATAATTCTTACTCCCATTGCATCATCTCGGTGAAAATATGAAATCGCATACAGATCTGGACTTTAATTATGACAGTACCTACCTATATAGTAATATTATAGGCTATAGTGCGGCAGAGTAGCAGACC